AAGGCCCAGGGCACCATCGCCTCCGCTCTCCACAGCTGTTGGGAGCCAGAAAAGCTCTTACTGTCCCCACCACTGAGAATTAAGATGGGACCTTCACTCCTGCCTTTTTCCTCTCAGGCCATTCGAACTATTAACCCCTGGAGCGACACGACCATGACTGCAGAGGAGTTCACAGACACCGTGTTCACCAAGATTGACGTCAATGGGGATGGTGAGGGRGCAAGGAGGGACTTCCCCAGGGAGGGGTCCCAGGGATAGTGACTTCCTATGAAAGGTGAAAGGAGCAGGAGGGGAGGAGGAGGCACAAAGGTCCCTCTGCAGGTCACCTYCTGCATCCCTTTCTGCCCCAGCCACAGAATTAGCTCTTAGGGATCCCTGGACCACACTTTCTGGTCTGTCTCTGACCCTGCCCCTTACAAGAACTCTGCTCTGGCTCTGCTCGCGGTGCACACCTGTAATCCCAGAGATTTGAGAGACTGAGGCAGGAGGATGGCAAGTTCGAGGCCAGCCGAGGGAATTTAGGAGACACTGTCTCAAAAGCAAATTTAAAAAAATAAATAAAAATACAAAGGGTGGTACTCAATGTAGAGCGCCCCTGGGTTCCATCCCCATACCAGGGAAGGAAAATCCAGCTCTAGGCCCTGGCCAGCAGATGCGGACACCCTTCCCACCGGGAATCCCTTTTTTTGTACCCCAGGGGAACTCTCCCTGGAGGAGTTCATGGAGGGCGTCCAGAAGGACCAGGAGCTCCTGGACACGCTGACACGAAGCCTGGACCTCACCGGCATCGTGCGCAGGCTCCAGTCCGGCGAGCCGGATGACGATGTCCCTGGCAAGGACGCCACCGAGGCCGCCGGCTGAGCCGCGCCCAGCTGCTGCTGTCTGGGGGCCGGGCCTACACGGTGGTGCCTGGCGTCGCTATTGTGCTTGTCTTAATATTATATGGGGTCTCCTGAATCCAAAGGCTCGGCTCACCTCTTTGGGGTCCAGGGTGGCAGCAGGAGGGGAGGAGGGGCAGAAGTGGGACTCCAGAGTGAAAATGGTTCCTGCCCCCACCCCCACCCCCAGACTCAGCTGTCGGTGATGCTCCCTGGTGCCCTGGAGTTCCTCCCTCGCCCCTTTGGGGCTCCTCACCCAGCTTTTCCCAGTGTCCCCACTGCATTTCTCCCGTCCACAGTGGAAGCTCTGAGCCAGAGCAGAGGTTTCCTGGGTCTCTGATGGAATTCTACAGATCTATCTGAGTGCCGAGATGGCGGCCTGCCCCAGACCCTGTAACCTACTTGTGTGGTTTGTGTTAATTCTTTCCTCCCTTCGACAAGCCTTTATTGAGCACCTACTGTGTATTGACACTAAACATTAGATGAACAAAGAAGTCAATTCTCATCCTCAAGGAACTCATAAGCTTGTGGGAGACACATAGACCAGCATCACTGTAATAAAATTGGCAAAGAAAAGTTATAAAGTAAGGGACCTCTGTAGGAGTTTGACTCAGAGTCAGTATCACAGTGCTGACCTTTGGCTTTTTTTTTTTTTTTTTTKATAAATGTAAAAATTGGAAAAACAGTTTTATTTTTGTTTTACATTACCTTCAGAAAAGCTAGAATTGTGTTAGTCATGGTGGCACAAGCCTGTAATCCCAGTGGTTCCAGTGGCTGAAGCAGGAGGATCACAAGTTCAAACCCAGCCTCAGCAATTTAGCAATAACCTGAGCAACTTAAAAAAAGGCTGACATGTTGCTCAGGGGTTAAGCACCCCTGGTTTCAAGCTAGACTTGTGGGTTAGAAAGTAAGTTGTGGCTGAGTAATTGTGCTAATCAGAAATCTTTACAAATCTACTTAAGAAAATTTTATTTAGAAAAGAGGAAATGATTAATTTTCAGCCAAGTAACTAGATAGTAAGGAAATAAGATAACATTTCAAATATTGTTACAATAGGGTCTGAAGTCTGGCACATTTTTCTTCCATTGCTCTTTCTTAAGAAGTGATATAGCAGATCAAGGTATTTCTTTTAAGTGTAAATATTCTAAGGAATAGCCCCTCCACTGTTACAAAATGCAATTGTTTGCTCTATTCTCTGATGTTCCCTTATATCATCTTTATCTACTCATTCAATGTGAAATGGGTACCTACCACTTTATTTCTGAAAAAGCTAAAATGGGAGACTTAGTGTTTTGCCATATAGTGGTCTCTTAATATCAATAGAATATAAGTGAGGTCTAAAACCTGACTATATTATACAAGGGACACAGAACAAGAAGCTGTTGTGATATAGATTATATTCACTTTCAAGTTACAGTTTGTGTATACAAGTTGTATTTTTTAATTTTTTTTTTTTTAGTTTTAGGTGGGCACAATATTTTTATTTTACATTTATATGGTGCTGAGGATTGAGCCCAGTGCCTCGTGCATGCTAGGCAAGCACTCTACCACTGAGCCACAATACCAGCCCTATACAAGTTGTACTTATATTAGCACCCCAAGCAAAATGACCTTTGGCTTTGAAAGAGGGCTTGGAGGTTGCCCATGAAGAAGGTGATATGTGTGGGGAGGTCTGGGTGAATTCTCTGTGATGTATGTGCCCCACGTAGGGGGTCTTCTTATATGTAAGTGGAGGTATTCTTTAAGAGTTAAATTTTAGCTGAATGCAGTGACGCATCCCTGTCATCCCAGCAACACAGGATGACTGTCTCAGTAATTTTAGCAAGACCTTCAGCAATTTAGTGAGACCCTGTCTCAAAATAAAAAATTAAAAAGGGCTGGGGATATAGCTCAGTGGTAAGCATCTCTGAATACCAAAAACAAACAAACAAAAAAAAAACCAAAAAACAAACAAACAAAACAAAACAAAACAAACAAACATGTGGAGCCACACAGTTCCCCACAGGTCTGCAACTCACTGCAAATGACCTGACCATCTGGGTCTACCCTAAATCTTTCTTGCTGCAGTGATACCTGACACCAGTTAGGAAGTGGGACGATCTGTTACAGGTGGGCCTGGACCTGGTTCTTTGCATATTGCATYTTTAAGCATCCTCAAATCAGAGATCTACCCATCCAAAGCAGGTCTGATCAGTTGTGCCCCTGAGTTACAGTTGCCTGGTTGCCACAGAAATCGGGGAGAGACAAGGGCTAGAGTAGTTGTGACCTTTTTCCCAAAAGTCTCTTTCTCCTGGGCTTTGAGTCTTCACTTCAGTTGAGCCCAGGGGAGGTGGGGGAGTATGTAAAATCCTAGGGGTTGGGCTGGAGTTGTGGATCAGTGGCAGAGCGCTCACCTTGCACTATGAGGCACTGGGTTCAATCCCCAGCACCACATAAAAATAAATAAATAAAATAAAGGTGTTGTGTCCATCTACAACATATAACTATATAAAAACCTAGGGGTGCAGGGAGAAAACTCAGGGTCAGGGAAATAGAACATCTTGTCCCCCTACCTCGGAATGGTAGGAGGGTACCATTCCGAGGTAGGGGGACAAGAGGGTGCACTGTGCTCACCCCTATCCTGCCCCTCCCTTGGATCATCCCAGACAGGAAAGTCAGCCAGGGCCTGGGCAGCAGACACAGAGAGAAGGTGGAGGTCAATGCCATGGGCATCCTGGGAAAAAAGGGAGCTGACATTGCTGCTCCTTCTCTTGCTGTCTGCCTCTTGGGAAGTCCTGAAGATCAAGGGTGTCTGTAATAATTAGGATGACTTTCCCCAGCTTTGTTCACATGCCACCTGTGTGATTTGGGGCATGTCTCTGACCCACCTAGTGTATTATTTTTAAGCAACCTTTTTTTTTTTTTTACCTGAAATTGATTTCTAAGGGACATATGAACATCATGTGAAATATCATACCWTAAGTCCTCAGGCTCAATAGGTTTGTTTTATTTTTTATGCATCAACACACAAGCATATCTACCCAAGGTAAAGCAAACATGCTTCCAGATCCCACCACGAACTGTCTCACAGGGTAACACTGCTCAGGGTGCTGGTTTCCACATTCTGTTCTCAGAGGTGTCTCTGGAGTCTCCGGAGGTAGGAGGGATCTGAGCTCCCAACCTCCTTCAACTAGAAGGTCTCTCTTTTAGTGTCTATATTAGGGTTGTACAAGAGTTTGTATAACGGAAAAGAATGCCACATCTAAAAACACGACARTCTGAAAACTGCTGTCAAATCCAAGCTGCACAAGGTTGGGGAAGAGAAATGGCCTTCTGGAGTCCCCTGGCCATTGGAGGCAAAGTCTGGCCTAGAACTTAGATCCGCAGATCCCTGATTCTCCCCAGAAGCAGAGAGGGTTCTCCATCTTCTAAAGGAATGGAGGAAGGTCCTTGTTGGGGATGTGGGGGAGAGGTGGAGAGGGTGGATAAAGATGGAGGGTGGGGGAGAGGGTGGGGGAGCAGGGCTGGAGGGCAGCACCAGGCAGGGCTCAAGCAGCCCCTTTAAGCACAGCAGCCTCTACAGCGGAGGACCACAGCCTGCCATCTTATTTTCTGAAGTTTCCCTTGTTAACACCCCTGATGAGGACGCCTGGGGAGGAGGTGGGCAGGGTCCTTCCTGTGGGCACTCCTTGGGATCCCCACTCCTACCTTCTCTTCAGCTTCAACACCTCCCAGCCCTGCTTCCTTCCATGCTCTCTTCCACTCAGTAAGTGTGTGGTCCTCATTCTGATTTGGTCTATAGGGCCTCTGCTACTCAGGTGGCCCCTGCTTCCAACTGAGAACACCTAGGAATCTGAGGGGCCCCTAGTCTCCTGGCCAAGGCATATTTTCCCCTGAGCCACCATGGGGGCAGCTGAGTGCCGTCAGCCCTGCAGACTGGGCTCCGCCCCATCGGCCCCTGCCCACCAGGGAAGGACTGTGCCCTTTCTGGCCCCACTCACTCCTGCCCAGGGAGTGCCAGCAAGTCCGCACCAGGGAAAGCGTGGGCAGGAGCAGGCTGGCCCAGGGACTCTCCTGCTACTCTGAAAACTTGGGTGAGCCTGCATTCTTGGAACTGCCACAGGCTTCCCGGGGCCTGGCCCCTCAGAACATGGCACTTTTCCTTCTCTGCTGAGTGATCCAGCCACTGGGATTCATGTCCATCTGCAGCATCTTCATCACCCACTTGTCACGACGGGCACCGTCCACGAACTCACTCAGGGACAGCCGACCTGAGCACGGGGCAGGAGACATGGTCACTGGGAAGAAGGCAAGACCTGGAGCTGGGGGCAGGACAGAGACCTTCCCTCCTAAGAGGCACCTGCCCCTCTTCTACAGACCAGCCCACAGAATCGAGTCCAGAGCTTGTGGCTGGTCAATGCTCTGATTCTCCAGGAGTCTCCTGGGGCCTAGAAGAGGCTTTCTTGACAAGGGACTGTAGCTTTACTCTTGCACACAGCACCTCTCAAATGCTGAGGGTTCCCTAAAGACTCTTTCCAAGAGTGTCCCAAGCACAGCACTGGAGGGCTGGGCCCTGAGCTGCAGGGCCGGGAGCTCAGTGGCCTGAACAGACACCTCCCCTGCCAGGCTCTGACTCACCCTCCCATTTGTTCCCCTCAGCCACTCTGGTTGTCTTCACTTTCCAGGTGAGGAGACCGAGGCCAGGCTGAGGGGTTAACCTCCAAAGTTCCTATTCCTTCTGCTCGCTTGCCTGGCCTCCTTTGGTGACTCCTGGGAAGCTTTAATCTCTCACAAACATGTGCGCTGTGTGACGCCCTTTGGTATTCCATGTCGTCCTCTCCTCAGCCAGCTCACCCATGAGAATATCAGCAGTTGGGAAGTGGCATATTGCCACTTGCCATGGCATTTGGCCAGAAGGTGGGGATGACGGGGAGCAGGCAGCCATTACCCGGTAGCTCCACCCCTTACCRTCCCCATTTTCATCCACCAGGTAGAAGATCCTGTCCACGACCTCCTCGGGTGTGAGCATCTGGCCCTGCTGCTCCGTCTCTGTCTCGAYGCGGCAGGCTTTCTTCACTTTGTAAATCGCCTGCCAGAGAGGAGAGGACTCAGCTGTCCTGACAGGACACCCTGCAAACCTCGGCTCTACCCACACCCCTCAGTGCCACCTCTGCAGCGCTGGCCCCAGGCCGTGCATCTTAGTGTCACAGGAGCCAGATCTAAGCCAGATCCAACCTGTACCAAACACCAGTTGTATTACCCCCTGGGGACTTCCTGGCCTCAATCTGCCCTTCCCCGACACCATTTCCATTCCCATTCCCACTGCCATCTGCAGAGGGATGGGATGACTGAGTCACCAACAGTTGACAATCCAATCAAAAGAAAAATAAATAGAGATGCAGAGGAGAAAAAATAATTTAGTGTCATCTTTGTATGTATAGGTGTCAAATAGTGTGATGAGGATACAGGGCTGGGACTGGAAGCAACCTTCTCCTTTGCGCTGGGTCCTTGAGATAATATGAGATGACATTTGCAAAGGTACCAAGTAAATRCAAAAGAGATGGGAAAACTTGAGGACCCTCCCTGGACCCCATCTGGGTGCTGAGGACAGAGCTGCATGGTCTTGGTCTCCGAGGCCTCATTGCCCAGTCCAGCACTGGCAGAGCACAGGTCCCACTGAACAGGCCCGGGGGGCACCTGAGGGGATGCCCTGAAGTCCAGATCCAGTACTTCCTATGTATGAATGCAGTTCTGGGGATCCACTGGCTGCCACAGGAAAAGTGTCGGGAGCCTGTGACACTAGATGCCACCTTTCCTCCTTGATCATTCCTGCTGGTTGCCTATCCGTTTTGTTCGTTTTTTAAAAGAAACAACTTTGGTTTTCTCTAAAGCACTTGTTTTTTTTATTTTATTAATTTCTACTCTCTATTGTTTCCTCTCATATATTTTCTTTGGGTTTAATTTTTTTTTCCATTTTCTCTAGATAACTTCTTAGATCATTAGTTTTCAGCCTTTCTTATTTTTTTCATATAGACATCTGGAGACTGTAAATTTCTCTACAAACCCAGGTGCTCCACACGTTTTGTTATGTCACGTACGACAGGTGTGCATCCTGATTCGATTAAAACTACTGTGTGCAACTATGTGTGTGTGTGTGGGAGACACAGACACAGAGAGAGAGAGAGGTGGGTAGAGAGATAGGGAGAGAGACTAACGTGATTTCTCAGGGTCGTGGTATTGGGAAGGGTGTTGCCAAAGTTTCAAACAGAGATTTTTCTACTTAACTCTCGGYCGCTGATTTTCAGCTTGATTTCACTGTGGTCAGAGAACACGTTCTGAATGATTTCAGTGCCTCTTCCCAACCCCACCCAGAGGCTGTCTTCAGTGGGCCCCCCGTGGCCAGCCCTCCGCGCCCCAGCAGTGCCTAGCACCCGGGGAGCCTGCTTCCAGGCAGGGACACCAACCTCCACGATGTCCAGGAGCTCCAGACGGTCTATGCAGCCGTTGCCGTCCTTGTCGTAGATCTTGAAGGTCCACTTCAGCTTGTGCTCCAGGGAGCCCCTCAGCACAAGATTCAGGGCCGCCACATATTCCAGGAAGTCGATGGTGTCGTCCTGCATGGGGTGTGGATGTTGCTGAGGCCCCTCCAGAGGGTGGCAGTGAGCTCTACGCAGGGTGACCCATCCCCAGAGAATAAGGGCTTTCCCTAATCTCTGTAACCCACATGGCCTCTGCATCATTGCGCAMGCTGTTCTCCACCCCCAGACCTTTCCCACTGGCAGTGGTCACCCAATCCTCCCTGTCCCTAAGGCTCAGCTCGAGAGTCCCCTCCTCCAGGAAGCCTTCTTTCTTGCACCGCCTGTGCCATAGCCTCTGTGTGGGTCTCTGTCTCTCCCTCCCTCCCTGTTCGCAGGCTCACAGCACCTGCTGTATTCTCCTTAGTTTGGGGCCAACTCTGGCAGCCTCCCCTCCCTCCTGGAGAACAGAGAGGGCTGGTATTGCTTGCATTTCTTCTCCATGCCTAGCTCAGTGCCAGTTGTACGTAGAATTGAGGTCCTGTACATACTTATGAATCCTGAGCAAATGATCGACTTGATCTGAATTTGGGACTTAAGTAGTTTTGAAAGATCAGGAAGCAGGGCTCACTGACACCTCCCCTTGCATGCACATTCACCCCGAGTGCCCGGGAAGGGCAGGCAGTGGCTCCAGTCCCCTCTCACCTCTAAGCCTAGGTGAACATTACATGGAAGGAGGGGCCTGTACCCCCACTCCATCCAGGAAGGGTAGGAGGAGGTGGAACGCAGTTGGAAATTGAGAACTGGAAGGGGGAGGAGCACAGCCTACTTTACAGATACCMTGACAAAAAATGAACCTTCTTGGGACAGAAATGTGACAGCAACCATTATTCCAAAAGCAGAAATCAAGAAACTGGAGAGGTAGATCCTTGCTTTTCTCCCCCAAATGTGTGTGAGGTGAAGGGCTGGTGGTGTGGAGGCCACAGAGGGTCGGCTGGGCCAGGGTGTCAATTATAGGAGCTCACTTACTCCAGGGTTGGGACCRATGCTCTCCAAATGAAAAACCTAAGCCATCAGCTTCCCCGGGAATATCATCATTCACGTGACTTTGGAATCAGTGAGGACATCAATGGCTCAGAACACTTCTGTCCCATTGGGTCTGGCCACTCAGGGAGCTTTAACCAAGGGGTACCCAAGTGGGCAAGGGTTGAGCAACAGGATAAAATGGCAGAGAATGAAGGAAATAGCAAAAAGACTGAGGAAAAAATAAGAGGAAAGTAACCCTAGGCTGCCTCAACACCGAGGGTTTTATTCAACATATTTTATTTATCATTCCTACAAATACATGGTTCTCCTGGCCCCCCTCCCCATATACTTACCTAATTGTGGTCAACCTATGTTTGTAGTTTTATTTGCTGGATGTCCATTTAATATCTTCTCATGTTTTTAAGAATTATATGAACTATCAATATTTGTGGGGCTTGGGAGTACTGGGCATTCCCTTCTGTGAAACATATTCCTAATATTTTATTTTTAAAAATATGCATTTATTTAATGATTTGTAGTAGGGAATAAATCCAGGGGCACTTAACCACTGAGCCACATCCCCAGCCCTTTTTATGTTTTATTTTGAGATAGGGTCTTGCTAAGTTGCTTAGCGCCTTGCCAACTTGCTCAGGCTGGCTTTGAACTTGAGATCCTCCTGACTCAGCCTCCTGAGCTGCTGGGATTACAGGTGTATACCATCATGCCTGGCTCTAATATTTTATATTGCATAGGGAACATTGATGTGTATTTTTTCTTACATATTTCTGATACTGTCTTTTCTTTCTTCCTTCTTCCACCTGTCCCTCCCTGTACTGAAGGTTGAACCCAGGGGCTCTACTACTTAGCTACATCTCCAGACTTTTTTCTTTTTTCTTCTTCTTTTTTTTTTTTTTTATTTTGAGGCAGGACCTTGCTAAATTACCCAGGCTGGCCTGGGAACTTAAGACCYTACTGCCTCTGACTCCTGAGTCACTGTCTAGTAATTTCTTGGAGTAGATTCTTAAGCAGTGGTTATTTGTTTGGAAGGATATTTTCTTTTGTACTTATTATTTATTAAGCTTACTACAAGCCAAGCACAGTGACGCACGCCTGTAATCCCAGTGGCTTGGGAGGCTGAGGCAGGAGGATCATGAGTTCAAAGCCATCCTTAGCAACATTGAGGTGCTAAGCTGTTAAGACCTTGTCTCTAAGTAAAATACAAAAAAAAAAAAAAAAAAGGGTTGGGATGTGACTCAGTGGTTGAGTGCCCCTGAGTTCAATTCCCCCCAAAACTTACTACAAACCAATCCTGTGTTTCTTGTTTAATAAAAATTGAGTATAAAAATGCTATTCCTGTTTTATATATGAAAAATCTGAGACTTGGAGGTGCCCAAGCTACATGTCTCCTCCAGTTCATCAAGTTGGAAAAAAACTTCTGTTCTCCACTCRATGTTTCTCTCCTTCCTTCTTCCCTTCCTTCCTTCCCTGCTCCCCTCTCTTTTTCATTCTTTCATGGTGCTGGGGATGGAACCTAGGACCTCACACATGCTGGGCAAGCTCTCTATCACTGAGCTACATCCCCAGTAACAAGGTCTAGCAAATGAGTTTGATGTCTAGAGGTACCAAGGAGGTAACCCCCACAAAACCCAACCCCCTACAAAGTCTCCAGGTTTCTAGATTCTCCCTCATTCTTTGTCCAGAAACTTCTGGTTCCAAACCACCTCTCTTAATGTGAGTCAGTGGAGAGAAGATGATTCATTATTTGCTTCTCCTCAAAGGGGAGGTCACTGCACACCCCAGGACCATTTCTGGGAAGCTTCTAGATGGTGCTAATCTCATCTGTTGTGCACAGACTAGTCAGCTCCAATTACCCAGAGGCCTGTGAGGGGTGGAAATGTCTCATCTGCTGTGGAGTGGGGTGGGCGTGCCGTCTGCTCTGGGGGATTATATGCCTCATTTCTCTCTGAATGGGCTGTATTTGTGCACCAGCCCTGACCCCAATGCTGTTATATAAGAATCCCAAGTGACGTTCAGCTTTCACTCTCTCTTTCCTTGCATCCCAGGGTGTTACAAGGCTAATTCCGGAGAGAGAGAAGAAAGTCGMAAGAAAGTAGAGGGGCAGAGACAGGGTATATCTATAGCTCTGYCTCCACCAAATCCATTTCATCACCCTGGATTTGGACATGTGAGATGGATCTTTGAGTTCTTTTTACAATTTTTGTTCTAAAAACCTCAGACCAGTCAGGTGCACTGGTGCACGCCTGTAATCCCAGCAGCTTGGGAGATTGGGGTGGGAGGGTTTCAAGTTCAAAGCCAGCCTCAGCAACTTAGTGAGGTCCTAGCAACTCAGTGAGACCCTGTCTCTAAATAAAAAACACAAAAAAGGGCTGGGGATGTGGCTCAGTGGTTAAGCTCCCCTGAGTTCAATCCTCCGACACACACACACAAATAAAATAAAAATAAAAATCTCAGACCAATTGTCCAGAAATAAAACTCTGATATCAAGACTCTGCTGAAGAGCTGGGTGGAGCTCAGTGGTGGAGCACTTGTCTAGAGTGCAGGGGCCTTGGGTACCATCCCCAACATGGGGCAAAAATGATTGTTCTAAGGCAGGGGATGGTAGGTTTAGAGACAGAGACTACATGGGACAGAAAGAAGGCTAAGTCCCTGACAGAGGAGCTCAACACCTTCCAGGGAAGCTCTTCCTTACAGCAAGATGCTAACCACTACAGAAGGATGGTGGAGTCAGAAAAATATCAACAGATGCCCAAACTGGTAGATGATGATTTGATGAGCAATAGTATATTTGCTGTCTCCAGGGAGATCCTGATAAGATACTTATTAATTGCAAAGAAAATACAGTAACTACCATGGAGAAACCAGGAAGACACCATCTCCACCAAAAGCTTGAAGTTATTTCAGTCATGGGTCGAACCAACATCATGTACTCCATATGAAGCCCTGAGAGGGCCATGACATCACACCCATGGCCTTTTTTACTGGAAGCTGAATCTCACGAGGAAATACTAGATGAACCTGAATTGTCAGATCCTCTACAAAATAATTAGGGCTAAAGCCTTAAAAAATGTCAAGCTCAATTAAAACAAAGGCTGAGCTTGAAGCTTCCAAATTAAAGGAGACATGTCAGATAAATGCAGTGTGTGATCAGACCAAAAAAAAAAAAAAAGAAGAAGAAGAAGAAGTTGGGCATGGTGGCACATGCCTGTAATCCCAGAAGTTTCGGAGGCTGAGGCAGGAGGCAGTTGTGAGTTCAAAGCTAGCCTCAGTAAAAGCAAGGTGCTAAGCAACTCAGTGAGACCCTGTCTTTAAATAAAAATACAGAGTAGGATTGGGGATGTGACTCAGTGGTTGAGTGCTTCTGAATTCAATCCCCAGTACCAAAAGAAAAGAAAGAAAGAGAAAAAGAAAGAAAGAAAGAAAGAAAGAAAGAAAGAAAGAAAGAAAGAAAGAAAGAAAGAAAGAAAAGAGAGGGTTGTGGCTCAGYGGTAGAGCACTCGCCTTGTACATGTGGGCCCTGGGTTGGATCCTCGCACCACATAAAAATAAGTAAGTGAAATAAAGGTATTGTGTCCTACTACAACTAAAAAATAAATATTAAAAAAGAAAAGAAGTTATAAAATTTTAATTTTAACCAAACTTGAATATGGATGATTATTAGACAATAAAAATTCAATGTTGAAACTTCCTGATTTATTTTTTTGGTGGGCAGTATTGGGGATTGAACCCAGGGGCGCCCTATCACTGAGCTATATTCCCAGCCCTCTTTATTTTTTATTTTTACACAGGGTCTTGCTAAATACCCAGGCTGGCCTGGAGCTAGTAAACCTCTCACCTCTGCTGGGATTTCAGGCGTGTGCCACTGCACCYGGGTGATCAAATTGAATTTTAAAATTAAATTCCTACATGTGTATACAAAATTTAGCTATCTTCTTAGCTACCAGTGCCATTGAAGAGCTTAAAGAAGCCCTGGGTTTGGATGGCTTCATGAGACCCTCCATGACCTGGAGAGTGGAAAAGGACTTTGCCCAGGGATCCAGCCACTCTCCCGGGTGGCTACAGCCCCCTCTAGCACCCACGACAGGGAAGACCTGGCCAGCCTCAGTTCAAAGGACCCCAGCAAGGGGCAGCTCACGGTGTGTGCTAAGACATCTTGTCCCATTTGGGACATCTGCTTAGCTCCTTGGGTTTAGACAGAGAGGGGCTCTGGCAGGTGTCAAAACCTTAGGTCCTTAGGCTATAGAGCCTCATCCAAAAACACACAAAGAGAAGCCCTGGACGGTCAGACACCTTCAGGTCTCAGAAACAGGATGCAGACAGCATAGGATAAATGCTGAGAGAGAGGCAGGCAAGACAGAGGGAAAGGGACAGAATAAGGGGGAGAGAAGAAAATAATTTGAGGGAATTGAGACTGAGGAAGAGCAGAGGGCTTGGGGGTACAGGGGTTATCCTAGAGGATGCATCTTGGGTTCAAGGATGCCAAGGGTGACAGCTGGACTGGCCATAGGTCCTCCCTCCAGGCGGTCTTACCCCATTCTTGTCGAAGGCTCGGAACATGCCTTCTACGTACTGGGTGGCCTCCTCGTTGTCTGTGACCTTGAAGAAGCGTTTGAACTCGTGCATGAAGAGGGTGCCACTGGGGCACTCCATCACAAACTTCTTGTACCACTCYTGGAGCTCAGCCACGTCCATCTCCCCAGACGTCTCCACCTTCTCCCAGCTGAACTGCTGCCCCATCTTGCCCTGAGGAATGTCAGGGGGTAAAGGTCTGTGTCTTCTCTTGGGCCTYTGCTGACTGATTCCCTAGGCTAGGGCCTTCTTCCCCCCTCTCCTTTACTTGACCAGCCTATTCATAAGTCTCCTGGGCAACTAACATGATGGACAGGGTAGGGCTGACAGCCTGGTGGGGCAGGCCCAGACCAGCTAAGCTGCCCTAAGACCATTAAAAGATTCTTCTGGAAGGTCTGACCTCCAGTCTGCTAAGCCCCCTCAGCCCCACCCCTCTTGTTAGTTCTGCTAACCAAGCACCTAGGCTGACCCAAGAGGACCCAGAAATAAAAGAAGGGAAGAAACAGGCAGATACAGGTGGGAGAGAGGATGACAGGCTGGCATGCTCCCATCACACATACTCTGCCTTCCTTTTTAATTRAGTACAGCAAGGCTCAGAGAGGCCCATCTTGGAGATACAGAGACTCTAAAATCCAAAGAGTAAGGAAGACCAACTTCTAGCCCTTAGAATAGAACCTTCTGGTGATTTGGTCTTGTCCTTCCATGTGGTCTGCAGAATCTGTGGTGGAAAGAGTTCTAGGGGAGCAGCTGTCCTTAGCACACTAGGGGCCGTTCCCTTACAGATCAGGCCTGAGTCTTGGAAATTTTTCATTTTCCAGTTCAAAATACAAATGCCTCCCTCTAACCCACCCAATCCTTTCTGACATTCCCTCCAAAGTTCTACCATAGGAGAAGGATCTTGGGGAATGGCCACAATACCTTTGAAGGCTCTCACTTTTATAGAAAAGGTCACGCAATCTGCTTTGGATCAATTATATACGCATGCTTATTTTTTAAATATTTATTTTTTAGTTGTAGTTGGACATAATACTTTTGTTTTATTTATTTATCTTTATGTGGTGCTGAGGAGTGAACCCAGGACCTTGCACATGCAAGATGAGCGCTCTACCRCTGAGCCACCACTCCAGCCCTGCAGGCTTATTTTAATGTAATATAAAAATAATACTTCCAAGAAATCAGAAGACCCACAGAAGTGATTTTTCTAGATTTTAGGGGCTGAAGTTCTGGTGAATCAGCCCTTAATCAAAGGGTAGCACTGCCATCCCCACTGGATATGCATCCCTGAATTGTGCTTACCTCCCCTTGCTGCKCCTACTCCAGAACACCCCCAATTCCTCAAAGTTCCTTGAACCTTCTTGCCATTCCCCAAATGGGAACCCCCTCCTTTGCCAGCCCTTCAAGTACTAGGGGAGTTTCTTCCATATTCTTCAAGGACTAGGGTAGGACCAGTGCCCTCCTTGCTCCTTACCGTTGCTTCCTGATGGCTTCTTGTCTTTTCTTTCTCAAAAATGCCTGTCCCACGGGAGCCATATCTGACTCCACCCTCTGTTTACTCTTTCTGTTGACATCATTTGCTGGGGATGTCACTTCTTGTCTCAAAGCAGCAAATATTTCAGTGRCTTGAACATCCAGGCTGATAACTGACCACCCAGTCCTCTTAGTTGCAAAGAGTTTTTCTCCTCCCAACCTTGAGCCCTGACCATACCCTTGTGGTCCAGGGCCTGCAGCTGCAGCATCTGGGAGCTTGTTAGACATGCAAATTCTCAGCACACGCCTCCCCCCCCACCAAGATGAATGGGCGGCTTTGGGGATGGGGCCCAGCAATTTAGCAAACCCCAGCCCTCCCGTGCTTCTGACATACAATAACATCTGAGAAGCACAACCCTAGGCTTTGCTGTCATTGATTTCTCAACTGCCTCTGAAACAGACATTGCCTGTTTTGTTTTTTTTTTCAAAATTTTTACTTGTAGAAAGACACAATACTTTTATTTTATTTTATTTATTCTTATGTGGTGCTGAGGATTGAACCCAGTGCCTCGCATGTGCCAGGCGAGCTACAACCCCAGCCCAGACATTGCCTTCTCTAGTCAGCCTCTCTAATGGCTTACTCTAATACCTGCACTGTAGTAATTCATCAATCTGAGTGACACTTCCATCTTGTTGATCTAACATCTGACACCTTGCTCATGTCCTCCTTTCTTCCTTGTCCTCACCCCACTGCCCTGCGTGCTTGCTGTTTCCTTGACTTCTCTGCCCGCCCCCTCCAACTCCCTTGGCAAAACCAAGTCCTGGTCAATGCTACCTACTGTGTACTAACACCTCACCGCACCCAGGAGGCAGAGCACTGCTAGAGATGATCCTAAAATCACGCTGGCTGCACACACTTCAAATAATGGTGGACTTTCATGCTCTTCCCCGTCAAAGTCACTCTTCCTCTAGAAAAGACTTYCTGCCTCCACACCTTCCATGTACTCCCATGGGAGCGGTGACCAAGTGGCATCCTTCACAGAGAGACAGAGGAGCCAAACAGCAACTCTTCCCACCAATGTTTACCACTTCTGTGTCTCTGTGCCCACATCCTCTGCCCTCTTCTGCTGCAGTGGAAGTGGCATCCCCTGCCCACTTCCTTACCTGTCTGCCCTGACATTTGCTTCCCAGATGATGTCTCTTTTCACCTACTAGACTTTGTTCTCACGATTCATCCTTTTCTCTTCTGCAGCCTCGACTTCTAACAGATCACACCTGTCAGCATTCAGACATGCTTTAATATTACCTGAATGAAAACAAGACAATCTGTCCTGATCACACATCCAGGACCACATCATGATTTTGGTGGGCCACACTTTTGTCTTCATGGGTCATTATGTAAAAATTAGATAAGTAAATATTAAAATTATATTTCATCACTCAGTATAAAAATGAAGATTGTGTTCATTTTGTCTTTGAAGGACTGGGAATCAAAGCCAGGGCCTTCACATGCTAGGCAAGCACACTAGTGCCAGGCTACACCCTGAGCCCCTTTTAGATTTTGTTTTGAGACAGAGTCTTGCTAAGTTGTTGAGGTTGGCCTGGAACTTGTGATCCTCCTGCCTCAGCCTCCTGAGTCACTGGGATTACAGTTGTGGGCCACTGCATCTGGCTCACCTTTTATTTTGATTTTAAAAGAAATTTAATTCAGGTGCAGTGGCTCATGCCTGTAATCCCAATGGCTCAGGAGGCTGAGGCAGGAGGAACACAAGTTGGAGTCCAGCTTCAGTAATGGTGAGGCACTAACCAACTTAGTTGTTACTGTTTTCTTTCTTTCTTTTTTTTTTTAGTACCAGAGATTGAATTTAGGGGCACTCAACCACTGAACCATATCTCCAGCCTGATTTTGTATTTTATTTAGAGACAGGGTCTCATTGAGTTGAATAGGGCTTTGCTTTTGCTGAGGCTTGCTTTGARCTTGTGATCCTCCTGCCTCAGCCTGAGCTAGTGGGATTACAGGTGTGCTCTACAGAGCCYGGCTGTTGTTACTGTTTTATGCCACTAAGTGTTCAATGTTTTCTAAGGTAGCATTAGATGACCTGAACATTCACGAACCTGCTCTGCATCCTCTTCCCCCCCTCTACCCTGAGTGACACATTTCACTGTTTGCAAAGTTAGGGTCAATTACTTGTGACATAGTTGCTGCCTGAAGATAACAAAATCTTAAAATCGACAAAAGCCTGAAGTCAGAGGGCGGGACCTGGGCTATCACCCCTGCTGCTGATCCCCAGGTCTGACAGTTTGCACCAGAGCCCTCTGGGCACCTCATCCTCTGCCTGGGTCCCAAGAGGCTCACAGAGGTGCTCTGACTGTGTAGGTGGTGCGAGACTGTCATTGGGGGTGGGAAGAAACTGGCTCCATTTTAGTTKTTTCAACTCTGCTCACTGACATCGCTGCATTTCTCTGGTGTTCAKGGTCAGCCTTCTGCCATAGTCTCTGCAGTCCACGGGCTCCACGGCCATCATGGTRGCTTTAATTTGGCACCTTCTTGTAGGTCTGAAGTTTGACCCTGATTYTGAATGTGAAAGTTCGAAAATTGGTGATCTGAAAAACTTCTTCAAATGCCTGCTCATTCCTCTCTTTTAATTCCTCAAGAAAAGCAGTGTTTTGTCCACAGATGGTTTCAGCAGACTCCTGGAAACAAGTCACTCACTGATTCTCTTGGAAATCCGTGATATTCACTGACAAGATCAAACTGGCAAATTCACTGTCACACTTTTCACAGTGGAATAATCCATTCTGTTGGTCAATCGCTTTCTCACTGCAGTTCTAGGTCAGGCAACCTGGTGCACATAGTTCTCTTTGCAAAGACACACCACTGTTGCCAAGAGCTAAGCTAGCCTCCCTTTTCACCCTGATCAGGTTCTCCCATTTAACCTCACGTAAAGGTTTTCCAGTTGGAGTTGCTCCCTSCTCCTCCTCCAGTCTTTAGATCAAGATGGAAACACCATACAAGGCTTGTCCTTGTGAGTCCAACCATCCCCAGAGTTTAGAGGCCTGTGGGATGTCAGGATTCACAATGATAGTGCTTAAAGACAGCATGGAAAGAAAGCCTCCATCAGAGACTTTGGCTCCTTCCATGGCATCACGGGCTAGAACCATAGAACTTGTCAGCATCTTCTCCCCAGAGAATAGCAGTCACTACTTGCCCTGACAAGTCCATCACAGAGATGCTTCTTTCAGCAACTTCTCAGTTGTTATACTTTGTTGCGATTTTAATGGCATCTTCATAGCTCTTGCAGATGCCGATTATGTTCTCTATGTCACCAATCTCTGTGAAATCAAACTGAAYTATTGGTAAATTATGACCATCTTCACAGGGCATAACTGAAATCTCATTTATTGGAAGTCATCTCATAGTCTTTTTTGGACTGGGGATTGAACTCAAGGGGCACTCAACCACTGAGCCACATCCCCAGCCCTATTGTGTATTTTATTTAGAGACAGGGTCTCACTGAGTTGCTTAGCACCTGGCTTTTGCTGAGGCTGGCGATTTCTCCTGTCTCAGCCTCCTGAGCCGCTGGGATTACAAGCATGTGCCATTGYACCCATTCTCATAGTCATGTTTAACAGCTGAGAATTTTTTGTTAGTGATCTTCAGGGTGCCTTTTGAGAAATAATACCCCTTGTCAACTTCAATA